GGGGCAGGGGCGGAGCTGATACCCGAGGAGGGCGCTGATTGGAATAGTTATCGGCGTCGGATGTGAGCAATGCGATTCAACGAGCGGGGAAGGGAGGGGGAGGGAGAAGGAGAGGCAGGAAGACGAACAGCGGCCGCCGGGAGGATAGGCAACCCATTTGACGCGCCGCTTACGCTGCCCGGTGGGGTGGACCGATCCTCCACAAGCCCTCGGGTGGAGCGGAGCGACGTTCTCTTGACGAGCAGTGAGCGAAACGCGATAGAACCTGTGGCCGCTGTCTACTCTACTGCTGTTGCGTCTGGGGCATTCGACCGACAGCAAAGGGTGAGTGAGATATGACGGGTGTCCTTTCCTTTTCCGTCCATACCGTTGCTGTTAGTGTTGTTATTAGCCGTTGTCATCATAACCTCTACTCCACCCGCGGGGGATCGGGCCGTGGTTGGAGAGTGAGGTGCAGGGCTGTGCAACGCACATTGAAGTTTATGCGGGGCGACCGCCGACCGCAGTGTTAACTACCACAGAAAACAGGAAGGGGAGAAAAAGCGTCGGCCTTTCAGGTAAAGCCTACGCATGAATGGCATTTAATGCATTTAATGCACTACATGTAGGGCTGAGGTCAGTGACTACTAACAAGCAGGCGGGAGTTGTGTGGGCGTGTTGTGAAAGTGTTGACCGGCCGTCGAGGGGGAGGGGTGGCGTTGGGGCCACTCCGCAGGGCCTAACAACAATGCCCAGCCCAATGGGGCCCTACGATAGTTGGAACTACAATACAACACACACACACAACTGCACTATACTCAGCTCAGGCCGCAGTGGGGGTGGGGTGGCGGGCCGGCCCAGTGACAATGGATGTAGCCGACCTAAAAACTGCGCCACTCCAAATGCCATGTCCAAGCTGCGCCGGGCCCCACCGGGGGTATCAGAGGACCGACCGCCCCCCTCCCCCCATTTCGCCGAGTTGAACTGTCCACGCTTTAGTATACCCCAGCACTGAAATGAAGTGAATAGACCATTCCGGCGAGCCGCGATAGAAGAAGAGAAGGAAGAAGTAGTGGTATCGTTTAGGACTGAAAGGGACGATTTGTGAATTATTTGTTGTCCTATAAATATCACATTTGTTCTAAAAAATTATTTTGAACATGTAAGGTCGCTTAATTCCCCCAAAATATATTTGCTTCTTCCTTCTCCTCTTCTCTTCCGGCGCAGCGGAATGGTCTATTACGCAAAGCTCCACGTACAATACATCCCACTGATGATAACTGACTTCGATGATCACAAAAAAAGGTATGTTTTGAGGTCCTGTTTTTTTTTTAA